ATATATATATATATATATATATGGGGAGTAGTTATAGAGGCAAAGAGAAGAAATCGTTTCCTCTCTTGTGGTTTTGCTGTTCAGGTCTCGTTTGCTTCTTGCAGGCCTCTGGGTTCTTGGGTGGCCGATGTGAAGCAGCGATTTGAACATTTGTCTGAGTGGACTAAGGAGCCGACAGCAACTCCTAAAGTAGTTAATTTAGCTCGTCTTTTCAGCCCCCAGTCTTTCCTAACTGCTGTTAAAGAAGTTTGTTCGCAACAACACCATCTCGAGCTCAACAAACTCAACGTACTCACCACTGTCACCAAGAAAGATGTCAACTCGATTGACGCCCCAGCCAGAGAAGGTCAGACGCTAAACCCTGTACCCGAAAACCCAATCCCGCAGCCCTAATTGCTCTTAGCTTGATATCCAAGGCTCTAAAGTTGAGAGATTCAAGACCCTGTCGAGATATGCGTATACAAATAGTCCAGAAGTATATGAACTGTTGCTACACCTCATGCATGCATGTATGCATGCATGCGTGCATTAAGACAAAGAAACAATCAAAGAACTCTTAGCGGCAGGCAACTGATTATATTATATCTCTGTGCTTTGGCGACGCCGGCCCTATTGCATGCATCGCATGCACTCACGCATGCACTCACGCATGCATGCATGCATGCATGCATGCATTAGGATTGAGAGTTTGCGTGCACGCATGCATGTAGGGGCTTTTGTGACGGGCTGTGTCTTGGATGGAGCGCGGTGGGATGTTCAAGGAGGATGTTTGGCGGAGTCGAAGCCAAAGGAGTTATTCTTTCCTATGCCTGTCATACACTGCAAGGTAGCAAACAATGCACAATAAGCCTTAGCCCCTAAAACCTTAATACCTCCAAGGTAGAAACAAAGCAAACCATGAACCCTAAACCCTAATGCCTGCATAACAACAAAAAGCATTTCCTAAACCCTAAACTCCAATGTCTGCAAGGTAACAACAACCCCCAAGCCCTAAAACCAAAGACACTTTACGTAACAATGCTTGAACTCCAAGCCCCAATACTTGTTGCTGTGATGCATTTTCCATAGGCCTCTCTTGAGATAAAGAACGAAGACAGCAGCACTTACATCTGTCCTGTTTACTTGACAGTTCAAAGAGGCCCCACATTTGTCTTCAACGCACAACTCAGGACAAAAATGCCTCCAGCTAAATGGATTTTAGGAGGAGTCGCCATGATCTTAGACGTGGGAGGGGCAGCATAAGTAGCATGCATGCATGCTTGCATGGATGCATTTGGTGCACGCCTTTATATGTAACACGTATGCATGCAGGGTTGCATGCATGCATTGGTGCATGCTTTCACCCATGCACTGAAGTATGTGTGTATGGGTGGAGTGACGCATCTGCTGGCGAATCTTCATGCATGCGCACTTTCATGCACACATGCATGCACGCATGCATGAAAGACAGAACCAAAGTTTTAGGATGATTCTGGCGTGAACGAATTTCGAGATGTGCCTGATAATAGTCAAATAAATCGACAGTACCAGATTCGTTACATGCACCAGGTGATAGCTGCCCTAGGCCCCTCTAAGCCGCTACTGCCGCAGCACGAATAGTTGTTCGGAGGAGGCTGCAGCAGCGGCAACACGACAAGTATGTAGGAGCACCAGTAGCAACTGCAGCATCAAGAGCAGCAGCACCACCAAGAGCAGCGCCAGCATTCAGCAACAAGAGGCTACAGCCTACAGCTGCAGCGGCGGCAGCAACATCAGCGGCAGCAGCGACCTTAGCAGCAGAAACAGCAACGCAAGCAGCAGGCGCAACAGCAGCAAAAAAAGGCCGAAGCGTTTAAGTGGAACAGCTGCCTGAATGTGAATTGGCACAAGCCCTAAACCCATAAACCGTAAACGTTGAATAACAGTGTCCACGCATGATTAGCTAAATTAGCATATAATCCACTGCTACCTTGTTACGACTTCACCCCAGTTACTAATTCTTATTTATTTTCTTAAATAGAAGCT